AATAAGATTTAATTTTGTAACAGAATATTTTTTTTTTTTTAACAAATATAATTTTACTCTGTTTATTAATGTTTTTACTCAACATTTGTGTAGTTTTTGGAGGATTTATGATTTTTTTTTTATTTCTATAAATGAATAAATATTTATTTAAATAGAATTTTTACAAAAAAAACAGCATTTTATGTTAAATAAACTTTATAAAAGACCCAGAATTATAACTTTAATTCCTGGGGATACCATGGGTAATTTTACAAGGTTGAATGGAAGATTTTTGCCCATTTTTTGGAAAATACAGGTTAAAATTTGTAATAAGTCCCTTTAACCACTAGATGGCTATAGAGCTCCACTATATACTATTTGAATTACTGAAAGATATAGTTTGTAAAGTTGGATTCAGTTGGATTCATATCTAAATATTATAAAATCACAATTATAACAAAAATAAAATACTTCTGTCAAAGTTTAGCATTTGTTTTTGTACTGAAAAAACAACAGTTTTTTAATAATGTTACATTATGATTAGAATCAAACCCGAACAACATGTTACAAAGAGAAATGTTGGAGATTTAATCATTTATTTCAACTGAACAGCAATAACAAATTAGCAAATAAAGCAGTAAAAATAAATTATATGTTAAAAAAAAAAGTAAATTGGGAAGAAAATCGAACAACTGACAATAGTTTGGAACAATAGAACAATAGTTGGTCTCATCATCTTTTTTATAGCCTTACAAATGTATTCCTGTGTGTGTGTGTGTGTGTGTGTGTGTGTGTGTGTGTGTGTGTGTGTGTGTGTGTGTGTGCACATTTTCAATGTGTCTTAGTGTATTTTACTTAGAGTATTTTATTTTACAAAAGATAAGAGGGTGTTTTTATAGTCTGTATGTATTCCTGTATATTGTATTCCTCTATATGTGTGTGTGTGTGTGTGTGTGTGTGTGTGTGTGTGTGTGTGTGTGTGTGTGTGTGTGTGCACGTATGTGAGCATGATAATTTTGGATTGTGGAAGTTTTTTGCATTTTTGGAAGTGTGCCACTTGATTTCTGTCATTTCTGTCTGTGTTTTGCGTTATTTCTGATTTTGATGATGAATTCTGTCTATTTTGAGTCCAATGATAAATAAATATTTATTTATTGATTTATTTATAGATATTTAAAAGCTATCATAAATCCTCCAAAAACTGCACAAATGTCGAGTAAAAACATTAATAAACAGTAAAATAATATTTGTAAAAAAAACATACTATTGTTCTGTTACAAAATTAAATGTTATTTTTTGGGGGGTCCAATGGACCCCGAAGACCACGAGTGTGACTATTTTTGTCACACCTACATAAAAACAGATAATGTTCCATTTTAATTTTTTTTTTTTTTTGTAGATCTAGAAAGTGTTGAGAGCCGTAGGAAGTTTCATACCATTTGGAAAAAGAGAACATTTTTTTTAATTCAAGCAAAAGTCATTTGGGGTCCAGTAGACCCCGAAGAAGGGTATAAAACATTATGTATTGTTTACATTTAAAATGTTCATAAACTTAAACTACTTTAACTTTGTTTTACCCTTAGTACCCTGTTAGTTCGCAGTGCATTAAATAATGTTAACAACAACTTTTGATTTTAATAAATATTAGTAAAGGTTGAAATTAACATATAGAAGTGAAGTTTATTATTAATTCATGTGGACTAATAATGTATACTTAAACAATGTATGAAACCTTTTTGTAAAATGTTACCAAACGGTAAAAAACTGTGTTTTCTCTCTTTCTCTTTCTACGTGCCTGTCTCTCGACCTGTCACTGCTATACGCACCTGTCCCGCGTTCCGTAACGGCTAAAGGTGCCTGTCCCACGCCCCTTCATGGCTATACGCGTGTGTCCCGCGACCCGTCACGGCTATATAGCCTACGCACCTCTCACTCATGGTTAAATAAATCTGTGCTATGGGCTAGTTATTCTTAATGTAGCCTAGCCTACATAATATAGTATTAGGTCTGCAGCCTAATCATTATTATAATAATAATAATAATTATTATTATTATTATATAATAATAATAATTATTATTATTATTATTATTATTATTATGTCAAGCCAACTGCCAACCTCACTGCATGCTATCTTAAGGTAAACTTGCATTAAAGTTGGACTATGAAAGTGCGTATCTATACCCATGGACACAGGAACCTGTTGGCAAACAGTCATGACAACAAAATGATAGCTTATAGATATACATCTGGGTGTTGTTTCTTTTTTGTATGTCATGTTTTGGGTGTGGGAAGAAGAAGGTTCATTTTAAGTAATTATTTAATTAAAAATTATTTAATTTATCTTCAGTGTGTATTAGCCAATCTGGTGTCTTGACGCGAATCACGCGATTAGCCTACTGTTTTTTAAGTAATTGCGTGATTCGTGTCAAGAAGACACCAGATTGCTATGTTATTGGCATATTTTTCGCTGCCGGCATTGGTAGGTCCTATGTTTATCTCGAAAACGGCATCTTTGCTGTTAAAGGTGTACCAGCTCCTAGGATATTCAATTTGAACAAGTCCCACCTCCCTTTCTCCTTTTATATTTATAGGGGTAGCCAGTCTTGTTCCATAATTTGATATTTTATTATCAGGGTATACGGACAGTGACGCGTTGCAGGGTAGTGTAACGTAAAATCCACCCTCAGCCATGTCTGCTTTTTATACGTATGTGTACATCTTGTGAATGGCATTTGTTTTTATGGTGTCTGAACATCAACTAACTCTTTCTGATCGATCCATGATGCAAATTTCACCGGCCATCCGAGCCACTGCATCAGCAATAATGTCTTGCGACCCTTCGTCTTCTTATCTAAAATTTTTTCAACTTTAAACGTCTTGTTTTTACAGACACGTATTTTTTGTAACTCTTCTGCATAAAAACCCCCGCATAAAACGTCCCCATCATAATCACGCAGTTTGTAGACAGGGGGTTCTCGTGGGATACATGTCGATATAGGAAAATATTCTTGTGTGTAGTTTTCCTCATACCCTTTTGCAAACGGTCCTCTGACTTTAGAAATCCGAACCACATCACCAATTTTAAATTTAAATATAGGCTTAAAACTGTGCGGTCTCATACCCCCATATAGGTTATGTAGCACCACAGATTCGTTTTCTTTGCACACATCAATCGGTCTCATCTTGATGCTTCTGTGATAGCTCGCATTGTATCCTTTCGTAATGTCTTGAAGTATATCGATGTAACGTTTGGAGTTTGTAGCCGTTAAATATCGCCACATTCTACTTTTCAATGTTCGATTAAACCGCTCGACCACAGAGGCTTTTAATTCTGTGGCTGTAGCGAAATGATGGATGTTGTACTTTTTTGTTAAGTTTTGAAAATGTTTGTCAAAAAACTCCTTTCCTTTATCTGTCTGTAATTTCTGTGGTACACAGCCCTCTTTCAGTATGGATTCAAAAGCTTTAGAGACCTCTAGACCACTCTTGTTTTTTAAAGCTCTTGTATATGCAAACTTGCTAAACAGATCGATACATGTCAAAAGAAAATGGTTATTGTCATTTAACTTGGCATAAGCTGACATATCAACTAGATCAGCCTGGTATTGCATATCAATGCCATAGACAAAAACCCGATTCCTTTTGTATTTTATTGGTGCTGTTCTGTGTAGTGTATACATATATGCATCCTCGCCAGCAAGCCAGTCTGAAACTTCTTTATTGGTTAAACGAACACCTGTGTCTTTTAAAACGGCTTCTTTTAAACAACCCCCCCCCCCTCCCTAAAGATCCAGGATTAGATGGTGTGTAATAAATCTTTTTCATTTCTTCGGACATATTGACACTTTACGCTCCAAAAAAGAATAACACAAATGTCTTAAGCGTTTCAGGTTTTTATTTCTTGAAACAGAGTAAAAACAATACAAAACAAAAGGTATCATACAGCATCGATGTAATGTAAAAAATTTATACACACCACAGTGTTTTTCTCAATTATATAATCAACCAATGTTTCAATAATTTCACAAACATCCGTGTGGCTGTTTCTTGTTAACATGTCCACACATAGATCAGTCACATATGTACACATGCACAATATATCGGCTATTCTAATACTGCTGCCACATTCAGTTATGAAGTCTAAAATTTTTCTGATAGTTACACAAATTGGATCACCAGCATTAATACATAAACGCATCATATCAGTCCATTCATTTGACACATTTCTCACAACAGACATTTGTTTCTTGAGGTTTGTAAAACGTTTGGTATCAACAGAGCATTTGCTTACAGCAACAGATACATTGGCAGATTCATTAAAGTCCCTGTAAAGGCAATTCTTCAAAAAAGTTCTAAACACATAATAAATGTTACATATGTATTGCTAAAACATATTACAAAGACTGTGAACTGTGAAGTACTGAAATGTGGAGTTAGACCGTTAAACAGTTTTTCACCATTGCAATTTTACGGATTAATTGGGCGGGGCTAAAACAGGGCTCGATGACGCACTGGAACCCATGAGCTGCTGGACACCCCCCTATTTGATGACGCACAGAGTCTGATCTCCTCCTCTCCACACACACTCCCGAGCACATTCGCATTCACCGCTCAACCGCGAGTGACTGTCAGTACTATTAGTTACTACAGCTGAGCCTACAGTTCCCTTTCGAGGGAACTCTACACTGCGTCGAGAATCGACACTTTGGGGACGCTCCCTAAGCGTGCGCCTCTGAAGTATGAATGAAACTAATCCAATCCTGATTGGTGTTGCGTCGTGACGTAACATGTGACGGCATACCCGGAAGTATAAAAGTGACGTTGTCACAACACACACTAGCTTTCGCTCTTCAGCAAGCGCTTTATGTTGAAACTGTCTGTCTTATTTGGTGTTGTTTGTCACTCAGTTTGAACTGGAAATGGCCAGCGAGCAATTTAAAAACATGTGTGCATCTCTGCCCTCGTTATGTCACAGGTGGGGACGCACATGCTTTGTGTGTAAATTGTTTGGGAGCGCAGCATGACTTGTGCAGACTGTAAAGCACTTCCTATTAGAGTGCTGCGCTCCCGGCTGGCGTGCTTTGATGAGCACGGTCAGGCTTGCGTTCCCTGCGTTTCTGGTCCCGCGTCCGTTGAGGCGGCGCGGCGATTGAGATCGTGGGGTTCACAGCGGGATCTTGCAGACGAGAATGAGACTGCTGAGGCACTTTCTCATTCATCGTCTGATGATCCCGTAGCCCCTGTGAGTGGCGCAGAAGTCCGCGCCGCGGCTTCTTCTGACCACGATCAGGTCCCGATACTCAGGCTCTCTGCTTCCAAGGAAGTAGACGTGCTCAGTATCGATACGGATGACCGTGAGTTAGGCGCGCCAGTTCACGGCCAAGCATATGAGGAACTGGTGAGGTTGTGACTCGTGCCGTGGCCAGACTGAACTTCAGCTGGCCACAAAATGAGGAGGGAACGCAAGTTTAAATAAATTGCGTTTCTTGTGGCACGGGTCACAGCCTCAGCGCCGGAGTTTGCCGTTTTTCCCCGATCTCCACTAAAAGATCATGAGATCGGGGGATGAACCGCATTCGTCCCGTGTTTCCAAACCCAGTGTCCTAAATTCTTGCGTTTGCCGAGGCAGCGTGTAGATTACGAGTCTACTCTGCAATAAAGATTCTGTGACTGCAGCGCATAGATTTAAGGTCTGCATTGCAATACGGAAACTTTGACTCGGATCTCTCGTTTGTCGAGGCAAATTTTCTCTCGTGAAAATTACGAGTCTCCTTTCCAATAAGGGAAACTGGCCTGTTCTCCGGCGCTGTAACTTCAATCGTCGACAGGTTTAGGAATAAATAAATAATATATATATATATATATATATATATATAGTAAATAAATAAATATATATAAGATATATATATAAAATATATATGTTGTCCCGCCGTTTTGAACGTTTCGGGCTACATCGATTTCCAGCGAACGCACACTGTGTCGTTCACCCCGACTGTGGTCACAAAATTTTTCTCGACTTTTTCCTGCCGGTCATCCGCTTCAGGGACTCGAAAGACACCCGAGGTCGGTCTCAAGGGGCTGGTTCCCTTAGTAGATTTTGCAGAATGGCTACACCTTCCAATATATCTATATGGGGCCTGAATATTTTTAAACAGGAAACGATGTATGTTGCCCGCCGTCAGCGACGCTTCGGGCCACATCGGTTTCCAGCGAAAATATTATAACGAAGCATCGTTTATGGTCAAAACATCCATATCGACTACAGCCTGCCGGTATTCCGCTTCAGGAAGTCGAGAAAGATGCTCTCGAAAGACAAAACAGAAAAAAAAAAAAAAAAAAAAAACCAGAGGCCACTCTCCAGAGGCTGGTACCCCTAGTATATTTTGTAGAGGCATGGTATCATCTTCCCAACATATCTGCATGGGTCCTACATATAATAGAATCAGGGTACAGACTGCAGTTTGCGCACCGCCCCCCAAGTTCTCTGGGGTGGTACAGACTACAGTGGTCCCAGAGCAGGCTCAGGTGATGGAACAAGAAGTTCAAACTCTGCTGCTAAAGGAAGCCATAGAACGTGTTCTTCCTTCAGACAGGGGGTCCGCGTTTTACACCCGGTACTTTATAGTTCCAAAGAAGGATTGGGGGTTAAGGCCAATTCTAGATCTCGGGGTTTTGTACCGATCTCTGAATAGGGAGGTGCAGGTTCGAACGGTTAACTCCAGTAATCGTGAGTCAGATCAGAGGACTGATTTGTCACGATAGATCTAAAAGACGCCTATTTTCACTCCATCCTTCCATGTCACAGGAGATACCTGAGGTTCGCTTTCGAAGCTTACCAATATCGGGTTCTTCCGTTCGGCCTAGCACGCTCTCCCTGCACATTCACCAAATTTATGGATGTAGCCCTTGCTCCACTGAGACTTCAAGACATCCATATATTGATTTATCTCGACGACTGGCTCATTCTGGCTCAGTCTCGGGAAATGGCAGTTCGGCATCGAAATGTCGTCCTTGGCCACATTCTGAAATTGGGGTTGAGACTCAATGCAAAGAGGAGTGTGCTAGAACCATCCCAGTGTACGACATTTTTGGGAGTCATATGGAACTCGATTACGATGTAGGCACGCATGTCTCCCGCACGTATCGAGTCAATTTTGACGATGGTATCCAGGGTAAAGCTAGGCCAGGCCATCACTGTGAAGCAATTTCAAAGAATGCTGGGCCTCATGGCAGTGACATCCAACATCATTCCTTTGGGGCCTGCTACACATGAGGCCCCTTCAGTGGTGGTTAAAGACCAAGGGGTTTTCTCCCGAGGGAATCCGCTTCGTATGATCAGAGTAACGCGCAGATGCCTTTGTTCTCTGAGAATATGGAAGAAACCTTGGGCCAGTGTTGGGAGTGTCATGTCGCCGGGAAACCGTTTCGACAGACGCCTCCCTCACTGGCTGGGGCGCGGTCATGGACGACCGTTTGCCAGGGGTCTATGGCAGGACCATCATCTTTCTTGGCATATAAACTGCCTAGAGATGATGGTTGTGTTCAGGGCTTTGAGGAGCTTCCTCCCAGACATCAAAGGTCACCACGTCCTAGTACGGTCAGTGGTAGCCTATCTGAACCGACAAGGGGGAATCAGATCGCGCCCTCTGTGCAGACTGACGCATCAGATTATCCTTTGGTCCCAAGGGAAAATACTCTCTATCAGAGCAATGTATATTCCGGGGGTTCAGAATCAGGGGGCAGACATCCTGTTGAGAAAACCATACTTAGCTCTTGGGCTCCATCCACCAGGAGATTATATGACCTCAAGTGGAATGTGTTTGTCACTTGGTGTAGAGAACTTGGGTTAAATCCAGTAAACTGCCCGGTGGCTTCAGTTCTGGGATTTCTCCAAGATCGTTTCTCTAAGGGTCTCTCCCCGTCCACGCTTAGGGTGTACGTGGCTGCCATTGCGGTTTTCCACGCACCGTTAAGTGATGGGCCTCTGGGGAGGCACCAATTGGTCATTCGGTTTATCCTTGGTACTTGGAGGATGAGGCCGGCAGCCAGGTCCAGGGTTCCTGCCTAGGACCTGGCAATAGTTCTGGAGGGGTTATCCAAAAGTAGAGTGCCCCTTCGAACCTTTAGAGTCGGCTTCGCCTAAGGACTTAACACTGAAAATGGCTTTTCGCTTAGCAATTACCTCACTTAAGAGGGTGGGAGATTTCCAAGCCCTGGCAGTAATGCCAGCTTGCTTGGAGTTTGCCCCTGGCAGAGTGAAGGCCTTTTTACACCCGAGTCCGGGCTACGTGCCTAAAGTTCCATCGAATACGGCTCATTCTATAGTCCCTCAGGCATTCCATCCTCCACCTCATGTGTCGGCGGAAGTGGAGAGGCTTCACTTGCTCTGCCCAGTCAGAGCTTGAGCTTGTACCTTGAGGGGTCCTCTTCTTGGAGAAGGTTGGAACAATTGGACTAGTATGTTCTGGGTCACCTAAGAGGGGGCTCCCGGCAACCAAACAAACTATTAGCAACTGGATCGTCCAGGCTATTACTGAGGCTTACAAGGTGCGCGGTTTGCCTTCACCTTTTACCTTGTGGGCACAGTCAACTAGAGGCATGGCTTCCTCTAGGGCCCTTCTTTCGGGAGTACCTCTTTAGGAGATCTGCGAGGCAGCCGGCTGGGCTACCCCACATACTTTCATAAAATTTTACAGTCTCCACCTTCCCAGTACACCCGGTGCACAGGTGCTCAGTCCTTGCTGAGTGCCTAGACAGTTTTACTCCAGGACAGGCCTATTCGGTGCGTGGCCTAGTGGGCACTCGTTCCCCAAAGTGTCGATTCTCGACGCAGTGTAGAGTTCCCTCGAAAGGGAACGTCTCGGGTTATGACTATAACCCTTGTTCCCTGAGAAGGGAACGAGACACTGCGTCGTTCTGCCACGCCCCCTTTAGGCCTTAGAGCGTCTTGCTTCATCGCGAGGCTAGTGTGTGTTGTGACAACGTCACTTTTATACTTCCGGGTATGCCGTCACATGTTACGTCACGACGCAACACCAATCAGGATTGGATTAGTTTCATTCATACTTCAGAGGCGCACGCTTAGGGAGCGTCCCCAAAGTGTCGATTCTCGACGCAGTGTCTCGTTCCCTTCTCAGGGAACAAGGGTTATAGTCATAACCCGAGACGTTTTCTAGCTAGCTATGCCTTCGACACGGACATGCATGGGCTACTACCTGGATGCGATCATGTACAAAACAGATCGGTATCTTCATTTAAATTCTCCTAAAAACGATCACATCAAGAAGAGGTTTTTAGAGAGCCAACCTTGTTGATGAAAAGCTGAGGATCACCGCCAACACCCGCCTCTGTAGTGATCGTTTTACACTGGATCGTTTTATAAACTTTCCCCAGAGACAACTTTCACTGATAATCCGCTGCAACTACTGGTGAACGGGGCCGAAAAGACGATCTCCCGCCTCAGTGTTCATACTCCAGTCTCCAAAAGCTAATATCACCGTCAACTGCTTTCCCGTGAGTGGGCGTGGTTTCAGCGCAGCCAGCGGACACGCCCCCAGCGTTTGAGAGCAGAGAATCTGCTAATTTTTTCATGATTTTGATAGCTTATTTTATGTACTTCCCAGCTTTTTTTATCATTCAAATTTGGCTGGGTGGCTAATAACACATTTTTTTGTGGTATGACAGACTCAGAACACATACTTAATTTCGACTTTACAGGGACTTTAATGATCTTATACAACAAGTTAGTCATCTCACATCTAATATGTTGTTTAAGTAGACACTTTGCCAGTCCAGATGCAAAACATGTGTTCCCCATGTTGTTGTTTTTACATCACTCAACTTGGATACTACCTTTCCAACAGTCCACAGCGTCTTAAACAATTTGTTCGCTGGCGCCGTCCACAACTTTCTCTCTGACCTCACAAAGTTTTTCCACAAGTTTTGTCCCGCAAAATCGTGTAAAATAGCATCCACATACCCTTGAATTCTCTGGGGATGAACCCTTAAACCACAACGGCTTAATGCTTGAGCAACAATGTGCTTAAGGTCAGGTCTCACCAGATTACGGGTCAGTTCATCAAAGTATGCATCAAAGAAATAGGGACCTGGTTCAAACAAACAGGAGTGTCTAATCTGACTGGGGTGATCCACTTCACAACCCAAACAGATTTCTTTTAGCTTTTTGTTAATGATGTGTTCCAGAAGAATCACAACAGTTGCTTTTATGATCTTGAATCCGTCAGAGCGGATACAACTGTCTGTGTCATCAATTCCGGCAAGGGATGCTGCTCCGGCTATTGCACCAGCGTTGCCATATGGAGTTGTAAGGAAGGTCAGGTTGTGATATCCAAGGTCCATGCAAAATTTATCCAAACAACTATTGTCGTAAGAATGTGG